GTTCAGAAAACCGTATTTACGAGGTTCTTTTCAATTCGTTTATAAGTTTTAAAAACACCACTTTCTATGATAGGATATGGGCTTCTTTTTCACGGCTATTTCAACTGATCGCAGTGTTCAGACTTTGACAACAGTCAGGTGTCACCACACAGTCTCTCTTTTAATATTATTTCGCATCCATCTTGGACCATCTTTGTAAGATTCTTGCGATGTTTCGCGCATCGTCCATCCCACAGTGCAGCCGCCCTATTGAACACGTCTTCAAGAGTCCCATTTCGCTCTTTGTTAAAAGTTTCTGTGCAATTTTCTCAGATCAATCCACTCTGCGGCATACTTGGGTACGGTAATGGAGCAGAGATCGCACTGACCTGAGAAGAAACGCTTCATATCATAAGGGCTACATTGGAAAAAAATATAAAGGACTTACCATGGAAGCTCTGGAAACGCCCCTCTCCCAGAAGTCCCTCCCTCCTCTAAGCCCCCATCTCGAATAGGCCCTCTCTCTTTAGGACCATCTCTTTAGCCCGCCCTTCCCTTGAAACTGTGGGGTCGTTGGTCGTCCGAGCGGTGCATCGTTACAGTACACAATGTTGTTATATTGAAAGCATTTGTCGTTTTTGTTTCAAACATGGTAGGTTTTGCAACCAAAGAAGTGCATGTCATACTGTGCTTGGTATTCACTAGACTTGTAGTATAATGTTAATGACACACATGTTAGCGTTCATCTACTCATCCCCTCACTGATAAGCCCAACATCTGCAAGCCCTGCAAATTTACAAGTCTAGATCTGCCTGGGCGAGACATCTTCACGGTGTCTTTCTCTGCCCTATAGTATATATGAGTACCTGTCACTGGGATGAGGATTTAATTGTTGGGAACTCAGTAAAGGAAGTGCAAGAAATGTGAATGAGAAGCAAACTCACCCATCAGTAACAACAGCAAATTTATATGCTGATCCAGGTTTATGTATTTCAAGCCATTAATGAAAGTTGTCAAGGACTCTTTGGAATGTATCAGCATCATCCACAATTTCCTACCCAGCAAAACAAAACATTGGAAAAAATTATTTAGGTGTACATTGAAGATAATCCATGCCATCAGCAAGGAGATGTAAAATACTGATCAATGCAATGGACTCTCGACAATACATACAAGATTTTTTTTCCTAAGACAATTCTCAATGTAATATTTGATCAAATCTTAAAACAAACTTGTCAATATCACATGCTTTGGAAAACAGTTTTAAGTGGTATAGAGAATAATTTGCAAATTATAAACTCATATTAGACTCAGAATACATCATGAACCATTTAAAAAGTTGATTCCATGTTGCCATGCCTCTGTTTAGTATTACAAGTAGATCATAAATGATGTGAAAATGTGGTATGAACCAAAAAGTGGCTCACAAGGTGCAGCCATGTGTGTCACTGATGTTCATACCACTTATCACACAGAACCTGGGCAACATGGAATCTATTTGTTTTTTGCGTAATAAAGAAGCAAAAACTTGTCAATGGTGACATCATCTATGGCCTTGTCCTCCAATAGATCACGAGTAAGAACTAATAAAAATGCACAAAGAATTCAGCTTATAATATGAACACAGGAAAAAGCACATGACTGTTTACAAAGACCCCAGTGACAGAGATTTCAGTCATAACTAGTGGGCAAAAGCCATGCACAGTAATGTTGTTGATATTTTGACTTTTATTACCTGGGTAACTCCAGTTAGGTTCTGGCAGAACTGTGATAGTTCTGACTTATCTTGTGGTTTGCAGTACTCATGAAATTCAGACACCTGGAGAAATATGCGAAATATTGGTGTATGATCAGTCCTGAATACAAACAATGGCTAACATAGCATGTTAAAGTGCTATTTCAGATATCAGTATTGAGGGTTTTAAAACCATTAACCATTAACACTAATCAATCATAAGCCCAAAAAATAGAATTCGGGCGAGTTAACATCAGAAGGATTGCATGACTTGAATGTTCAAAATTTCAGATGGCTGCCCACATTTTCTTTGATTCAAATACCCCTAAAACTAAGTGCCAAGGCCAATTGGTTTTATACTCTCTACCCTTCAGGGTAATTACTCTAAAGAACTGTGTAAAAATTTTGCAATAGATAACAGACTGATGGTCACTGCATGGAGGCCTGAGCTGTATAAATTATATGATATTCATGTGCTGTAACTGTCAGCTAATTTCAATAAAGATACCATCTGAAATCCACCACTGTCCGTTAATAAGGCTCTCTTCCAATTCATAAATCCATGTAGTCCCCCGGCTTTTTCTAATATCTCTGCGCCTGGTCTCTGTCCAAGATGGTATGTGTTCCCAAGAATAATCTGACAGTCCAGCTCTAGATAGATAGATATATATAGACTGTTTATTCACAAATACATCGCAGTCATTAGACTGAATTGCGTATTTCACAGAGAAATATATAAATAGGCAAATGTTAAAACTAATCACAAACATATGTACATGATATAAAAATATAAGTATCTAGTGGGATTAAAATATGTATAGTTACTAGTACTACGCGTTGTTTGTTGCTAGGCATCTTTGGATATTGCATACACAAAGGACTGTCTAAAGCGGTCTGTGCGCGAGCGTGGTAGATTATACCTCTGTGAGCTGTCTAGAGGTCAAACCCTTGCACCTGCCTAGTTACTGTTTTCGAGGAAATAATTTTGCTGAAAATTAGATACTACAGTGCTAAGCACATGTAGGTAATCTATGATGGCTGTTGGGTTACATTGTGAAAGTTAAAGGCCTCCTCTTCCTTGAGAAATAAGGTGTTCTGTTTCAGCCCATCTCACTCAGGTTGATCTACCTGCTGCAAATATATGGTTGCTGTGAACACCCTGTAATACTTTCAACTTTTACTACTTATTAGAGTTATAGTACCCTATTCTAATTACAGAAATCACTGAAATCTATTTGATCTAAGAAGGCATTACCTTGCTAACCAAAAGACCGCCACAACAAAAAATTCAAAACTAAGGCTAAAAATCAACCCTATCCTACTTCCCTGAAGCCAGTTTTTTTTTTAACAAAAGTGGTAGAGTTTTGCAGCATTTTATTTTACATGCTTTTTCTTGTGAAATCTGGCAACCTCAGTGTAAAATCATCAACATTAAGAGCCTGTAGGGTTTTCATCCTTCAATTTATGTTGCCCAGAGGCCAAAAACAGAAAAACTCCAGCCAGAATAAGGCAGGCATCCCTGGACATAGTTTACTTGTGAGGAACTAAGGTTGAAATAATATCAAATTGTTGGATTTGTATTTTCTATGTTCCAAGATGAATATGAAGGCAAAAACAAATCAAACTATTGTACTTTAAAATCATTTAGACCAGCAAAAATGAGTGCATTTTCATGTAACACAAGTGCAAATTACAAATAATGCACACACTTTCAAAATTTTCTCTGTCTTGCTTTTCTGTGATGTTTTTTCATGTAAATTATTAACACAAGTAATAACACAATTTCTCTTGCAATGTGGCATAATAAGCATTTGTAAGTTTTTCAAAGTGTATAAAGTGCTCTTGACCTGTGGGCTAGTTCAACTTTTTTTTGTCTTTGAAAAATTTACTTTGCTTATCATCACCAAATTGCACTCAAAATCATGTTAATACCTAGACAAATTGCAAACATTACTTTTCAATTATTATATATGTTACTTTAACCCTTTAACTCTCATGAGTGACCAAGACAGAATTTCTCCTTACAATATCAATACAATATCAACCAGATAAGTGATGAATACCACTTTGGGGATAATTAGTGGATCCAATACTAAACTCTCTGAACTAACATTGTTAGAATTGTATGGTTAACAGTAAGGAGAATTACAAATTTGATTTGAGAGTTAAAGGATTAAAATAGTGAACAATACAGCTGTAACACCTCCTGAAAATCAAGGAGGTGTTACAATGCAGTAAGTGGAAAAGTTAATCATCTCCCTCTGATGAGATATTGATGGTCTCTGAATTTTGAGCAGTTTGCCGAGGCAGAGCTTTAACGAAGTTTTAATACCTTTCTAACCCTTCCAAAATCCCCCCTTATCCCCAGGCCAGGCTTGGAACATCACCTTAATTAAACCATGACAACTCCATAGCGGATTAAACGTGAACCTCAAAAATTGAGGTTGTTAAG